ACCACACTTCGTTTTGGATCAACCGTTGACCCAACTGGACAACAACTTCGTGGCTGTGATCAGAATATCAAACGTACGTACGTGTTGGAATTTCTTGCGGAATTCCAAAGAGTTTACCATTAAAGTATGTGAATAACTGTTAAATACTTGGTCATCATGCTATAGTTAAAACATAGCAGAGAACCGTTATACAAACAATCAACTTCATTAGTCCTTAATTCATTAAAAATTATGTTCCTTGAAAATTACCCAAAGTATTAAGTACAATTTAGAAAAATGTAAGGCACAGGTTACATTTTACATTTTGAGTTTTTGCAAGAACTTAGTCGAATTTTACCAAAACCTCCGGTAGTGTTTCGGCAAGATATATTTTTAATCTATTGGTACACTTTTTGCTATTTAATTATACACTCGGCATCAAATAAATCGCACCTCCCGCGACAAGCACTTATCAAACGTATGCATCCCCACTTTCCACCAACATTGATACCATTTATTTATTTATTTATTTATTTATTTATTTGAAAATCTAGTTCATAACTTCATTTAATTAAAGGAAAGGTTTTTACCCCAAAAATGTGTCTTTAGAAGCACCCAGTCACTTTTTCAAAAAATAGGTAGTTACGTTTGGGCCAACTTTTATGACTATAAAACTGTTAAGTTGGGATTAATTGCCATCCATCTGTTAAAAAGGACACGTAAGATCATTATTTGGTTTTATAACCACAAAAATTGGTCTACTTGGGCCCATAGATGAGCCCCAAGTGAGGCCTTTTTCAAGTCACATTTATGGTACCTGTTAATTGTTTATAAAAAAATTAAATGTGTTTTTCTTTAAGTTTGTTTATTGGGTTCTCAAATAACACCAATATTGTTGGGGCACCATGATTGTGTCAGAAGAAAATCTTTAAATTTCGCGTCGCGGAAGGTGCGGTTTATTTGATGTTGAGTGTAGTTTTCGTTGAGACCAACGAATTTTAAAATAAACCCTGTAACTTGTAATATAGCTTCCGAAATATTTTATAAATCAGCAGAGCATTTTAGACGGTGAACGCGAATTTTGGTCTCGAGTATATTTATTCAGCTCTCCACATATACTGTCATGATTTTACCGCATAGCAGCGGAATTACGCCGGACTATAATGAGCACATCCATTCATATTCGTTTTAATGCAGCGCACTATTACTCCTTTACCCGTATCCGTATCTAGTTGTATGCTAATGGGATTTAGTCCTTTTAGTAGAGCACTAAATAGAGAATAGATTAGTCTAGAACCATAAATTATAAACGAGTTCTGATTAAAGTTTAAAATGGGTGCTTTTAAGTGCCTACCCAAAAGCCCTATCCCAAGAACTTAACTCTGAAAGGCAGTGGGCCTAGTAAAACAATCTTTAATTATTAGAACCTATTAAATTAAGTAGTACATGCAAATCGTCAACTTTAACTTAAGTTGCTCTTAAGGAGCCTTAAATTGGCTGAAATTAATCATTATTTTTTACCTTACTAGTGCTTCGGAATGAAAGTGAGAAAACTTCGACCTTTGATAAATCTAATTACGTCGTTTATGTAATCGTTTATGTTAAAGGTATTTCGTCTGGGGCTGAGTATGTAACAAAGGGTTTGATTTTGACATGAAAATCTTGTTATTGCATTACTCAAATATAAATTTTACTGGATATAAATTGAATAGATATAGATTCTAAATTCATCACAATCGTTCTATGCCCGTTTCTAAACTCAATCCCCATCTCTATCGACATCAGCGAAACACCGTCTACGCAAACTGAAAACCCCAGAACAAAACAAATTTACTTTCCAGTCGAAGTTGTTCAATGGGACGCCGCAAGAACTCCTAAAAGGAAAGCATTGTATGCTATTTATTTCCTTTAAAGCAACAAATTAGACGGATGTTTCTTCGAAGTTTGTTCGGACAATGGGAGACGAGACGTCGCCGTAAGTTGGGGATGTTGACTGAATACCGACGCTTATGGTGACTGTATAACTCTTTTTACTGGGAAATCCATGTATAAGTAATAAAACTGTTACAAATACAACTGATACTACATGCTTCAAATAAAATAAGCAAAACCTGTGCAATCGAGATTTCTTAGATAGTAAATGAAAACTTGGGTACCAATAGGTATAGGATGCAAGGATTAATGCATGTGGAATATCCTTGTGTGGAATGGAACATTAGGAGAATAAAAGAAGAATGAGTCATAGATGTTATGGGCATTTATTTAAAGGGCGAACCACTTGTGTAACAATTTATTTAGGTAAATATTTTAAGATGAAGATACATATTAAGCTGTCCCTAATTTTCTCCTGTTCCCTTCCCAATAGGAAAGTATGTGAGATATCCTTTATCTATTGTTATATTCGAAAACACATAAAAATGAAGGGTTGATAGCGAACCACCACCAAACCACATTAATTTTGTTTGAATTTAAATAGTGCCTTCTAATATACTGACAGCAATATCTAGTTGCATTGATTTTGCACTTAGTGAAGATTTGGTACAGTTATTTACGCACCTTCTATCTTTTGTTTTTGAGAACATGTTTAAGATTTAAATCTCATTATAGGTACCACATTGTTATATGAACAAAGTGGACTTTTATTTCTTCTTCGCACAACAACAGGGCAATTCCAAACAAAAAGTTTAGGGGTATCTTGACTTCAGCTTCAGTCCCCATCTTGGAACTTTATCCTATCGATAAGTTTTAGCTTGGCATATGTTGCCAAACATGTTTGAGAATTTATGAAATTCATCGATCTTCTTGTTCGGACATGTTCACTTGTATTATGATGACACTTATGACCTCTCCTTGCTGGATGTTTTACCAGTCATGTTTTTTTCCACCAGTCATATAAACATAATCTGTTCTTTTCTGTTAGTAGGTATTTTTTTACAGTTTCAGCGTAGGTTCCAAAAATAATGTCTTTAGAATCTTGAATTAGTAGTTACAGACAGTCTGTATAAGTTGTTAAACAGTTACTGATAATATTATGTATGTCACCTACCTAAGTTTTACAATGTAAATGCAGTTTTAAACTTGTTAAAAAAAATTAAAAATGTATTAGAGACTATAATTTTATCCTATTGATCATCAGGTGAAATCAAAACTAAGTCTAAGTACTAACTAAATAAAAGTAAAGTGGAGATTAAATCAGTAGGTAATTTAATAAAGATACTAGTGATCTCACTAGTATCTTTATTACGAAAGGTCCTGATTTAGTTTCTATTTCTGTCATTATTCGGGTTAATTTTTGCGTCTACAAAAAACAGCGCCTATAGCTATGTACAGTCACGGAATGAAAAGGTTCGTCAGTTTTCAAATTGATTCCTTTAACGAAACGCGAGCACATATTACCTTTTGAAACTATGTTAAAGAATAATCTCGAGTTAGAGAAAATAATCTTTAACTGTTCGTCACTAAAGTTTAAAATTATTCAGATCAAAGTTGTTTGACGTTTTAACTTGTCAAGAAGATTATTATGATTGATAAATTAAAACCTTGTTGTTGGTTCCACCTGCCATTATCTATTAAATTAAAAAAAAACTACATTTTGTAACATTGCACTGATGGGATAGAAAACTAAACAAGCAAAACCTTATTCGTTAGCAAACGTCATATTTATTTAAATGTTAGCAGCAATGTTTCTTGCACTGTAATGTTGGCAGGTTTGACTCTTACAGTACCTAGTCACGGTAATACTATCTATACAGTATTCCAACTCGGCCATATTTTTGAAATAAATGTCAACAGCCGCGCGGAACGTCATCGTATGACAACATGCGATAGGGCTGCCTACTTGCAGACCCTATTTTCATTACATCTGCCTACTTTGTATTGTGAATGTATTTTGTGATTGTAATTTTTATTTTATTTTGACAAACAAAATACTTTGTGAATGAAATAGGATATAAAATTTATGTTGTTTTGTGATTAGTAGTAGATTTAATTGAAAAAATATATTTGTGTTAAGATTTTGTTCGAGATTTAATTGGATTTAATAAAAACAATGTTGACCGGCAAAAATACTCCATATTTATTTACTACCACAGACAAGATAGACTTTTTTTTTTTATCATAGATATTATTGGCATTGAGTTTATAGTGAATTAGTAAATTAAACATTCAGCCCCCCAAAGGGCGACAGACCTTTAAATCAATAAACATAGAAACAATATGCATTGTGTAACAAATAAAACTAACAAATTTCTAGGGTTCTGGAGACCTTACAGGCAATAAACAAACTTTATGAATAGGCCTTTTAATTATTGAATTTTTACATTTTATGCTAACTACTCGTGTCAAACCATCTGAACCCGGGTGAGTCTCCAAGACCCTGCCAATCAACCACTTTGCAGGTGGCAACCTGTCATCTTTTATCAGCACAATATCATCAACTGTTAAATTCTCCTGAACACTAGTCCATTTGTATCTGTTTTGTAAAGTTACTATATACTCTTGGCTCCACCGTTTCCAGAAATATTGCAATTTTTGTTGCAAGTATTTCCAACGCTGCAAATAAGGTACTTTAACATCCGATAAATCGTCGTCCGGTGTTGATATAGGTGTTTCCCCAATCAAAAAATGGCCAGGGGTGAGTGCCATGTCATATTCATTATTTAAAGCAGTTAATGGACGAGAGTTCAAACAACACTCCACCTGACACAACAAGGTATAGTATTCCTCATAAGTTAATTTGGTATCACTTAAAACTCTAGACAAGTGCTTTTTAACAGATTTAATATTGGCCTCCCATAGTCCACCCATATGGGGTGCACCAGCAGGATTAAATTGCCAATCAGTACCATTCTGAGCTAAACTTTCAGCAATTTCAGGTGGCAAGTTTTTTAAGAAATTTGTATGTAACTCTTTAAGACATTTACTAGCACCAATAAAATTTGTACCACAATCACTAATTAGTTTTTGACAATGACCTCTACGGGCTGAAAAACGCCTGAAAGCCGCCAAAAATGCCTCGGTGCTCAGACTGGTTCATTCCAGGTAGGTAATTTATCATTTGATTCTAATCTTTGTTCAAACATTCTGTGCGACTCAATATCAAGTTTCTGTATGATAGTGTATACAACAATGTCATCCCAACTCTCAGTAGGTAATCCTATGCTCTTCAAAACAGCCAAACACTCAGTTGTTACATCCAAAATTTCACGAATGTTTTTTGCAGATTCAGTTTGAATGCGTTTCAGGTTAAACAATTTGCCAATATAAGTGTTTACTATACTTCTCTTGTTGTTATAACGATTGTTGAGCATTTCCCACATGATCTCATAGTTGACTTCTGAAACTGCTATCTGTTTAACTAAGTTCTCCGCCTCTCCTCTCAGACTTGATTTCAAATATTGACACTTGTTGACATTGCTAAGAGAGGTATTGTCGTGAACCAATGATTTGAACACATCTCGAAAGGACAGCCAATCTCTATAGTCACCAGAAAATGTACTGAACTGTATTGGTGGAAGTTTCATGTTTGGACAAAGTGATTGTTCTGTTGTGGAATTATTTACTGCGACACTAGATGGTTGTGTACATTCAAATGAGTTCAGTTTTTCCTTCATACGCGTTTTTAGATCGAGATAATTATCAAAACACTGCTCATAGATGTCTTTAGTGAAATATTCCGACTTTTGTTGGTACTCAGGTGCCGCCGACAACAACGTGTTATGTTGTTGCTCGAATTTGTCCCAATATTTGTCTGCCATCTCCATCCGTGCCTCAACAAACCCTTTAGTTAGCCGCTCTTTTCCCNCAATTTGACAGTTCATGTGACGTTTACGAGTAAGCCATTCTGGCTTACTAAAATCTGCCTCACCTTTCGTGCACTGACTATCTATCTAGGTTTTATTAATCTAAGGGTTCCGCCGACAACAACGTGTTATGTTGTTGCTCGAATTTGTCCCAATATTTGTCTGCCATCTCCATCCGTGCCTCAACAAACCCTTTAGTTAGCCGTTCTTTTCCCGTTTTCTTGTAGTTTAAGAGTAGCTTCGATATGTTGTCGTAAACGCTTACCTGCGACTTTACCAATTTATCAAATTCCATGGCGGTCGGTATAACTCACTGTTGTTGTTGTAGAATTCGCACAAAATTTACACTGATTTTACTGTACTTGTTACTTTGCACTATTAATGTATTTGGTTGTATATAAATCCAGCTCGTTTGGACCAAAATGTTCGAGATTTAATTGGATTTAATAAAAACAATGTTGACCGGCAAAAATACTCCATATTTATTTACTACCACAGACAAGACAGATTTTTTTTTTTTTGATCATAGATATTATTGGCATTGAGTTTATAGTGAATTAGTAAATTAAACAGAGCATAAAAACAAAACACCCTTCCGTGCCGCTCCCATGTCTCAGGCACTGACTTAGTTAAGCGCTACAGCTATAGGACGTCACACTCACCAGTTTGTCCAAGACATTGAGTTCGCTGGGCAGCGAGCAGCAGTGCGCGCGCGCCGCTAGCAACGAGCTGGCGCTAGCGCCGTCGTCCAACGGACACGTGACGAAGTCAGGGCACGACTTGGACACGAACACGGCCTTGGGCAGCTGCGGCTGGTGCGACACCATCAGCAGCCGGTGCTTCGAGCCCGGCTCCTTCGTCAGGTCCTCCATGGTGATCGAGTGCAGCGACACCTGACGACACGTGGGAAACTCAAATATAAAACAAAAGGCTTCTTAAGGAGTGTCAGAAATTATAGAAGTCTAGTTTTTTCCCGCGGCTCTGTCCGCACAAATATCTGCCTGTCACAGAAAAACGTTCAGTTAAAACCGGCATAAAGACTATCTTGTGTCCTTTTCTGGGACACAAACTACCTCTATATAAAATTTAATCTAAACCACTTCAGCGTTTTAAGCGTGAAGAGGTACCAGATGTACCTACTGTTTCGCATTGATAATAATATTAGTGTGGAGTCATAGTGTTTGTACCNTACAGATATGTGGCGCCAAAGTGAGGTCTAAAACCAACTTTTTTTATAAATTTAGTGTCGATGCGGAGGCAGTTACTCTAAACCGAATTGATTAATATTTTGCATGACTTAATTTAAGCCCTAAAGGCACAAAATTTTGACTATTACATTACAGTTATATGAAAAAAAAATTTTCGCTCCACCCTATTGTGTACATTCAAATGAGTTTAGTTTTTCCTTCATACGCGTTTTTAGATCGAGATAATTATCAAAACACTGCTCATAGATGTCTTTAGTGAAATATTCCGACTTTTGTTGGTACTCAGGTTCCGCCGACAACAACGTGTTATGTTGTTGCTCGAATTTGTCCCAATATTTGTCGGCCATCTCCATCCGTGCCTCAACAAACCCTTTAGTTAGCCGTTCTTTTCCCGTTTTCTTGTAGTTTAGGAGTAGCTTCGATATGTTGTCGTAAACGCTTACCTGTGACTTTACCAATTTATCAAATTCCATGGCGGTCGGTATAACTCACTGTTGTTGTAGATATTTTACAGGAATTCGCACAAAATTTACACTGATTTTACTGTACTTGTTACTTTGCACTATTAATGTATTTGGTTGTTTATAAATCCAGCTCGTTTGGACCAAAATGTTTGAGATTTAATTGGATTTAATAAAAACAATGTTGACCGGCAAAAATACTCCATATTTATTTACTACCACAGACAAGATAGACTTTTTTTTTTTTTTTTTTATCATAGATATTATTGGCATTGAGTTTATAGTGAATTAGTAAATTAAACAGGGCTTAAGGTACGCGATCGACTATGGTAGCGGTGGCATGCTGTTCAGTGGTGCTACTCCGTACTAGGAATTACATGATTAAAGATAATAATGGTATAAATAGACAGAAGTAAAAAAAACCTTAGTCACGCTGTAACATTTACAACAGATTTGTTTCCTAATCGCTTTGGTACTAAGGAAACGAATCTGTCGTAAAGGAATAATGTGTCATAGTGATGGCCCCAGTACCCAAAATACTATGTATGTGACTTTATGGAATCGAATTCGGTAACGAGCGTTACTTTGTCCACAGGCGCTGAAAATACGGCATCAGTGCCATAAAAGAACTACACTAACAAAATTTCATTAAGCTTTGGCAACTATTATGAACGACTTTAAGTATTGCTTTATGAAACGCTTTCCTTTTCCAGACGTTTTTTTAGTGACGCAATACTTAACAGCATAATGTAGGTTTCAAAACGATCCGATAAGTTTAAAACTCAGATTCTGTTTGATTTACTATCTGAAAGCTGGGAACTAATATTATAAAGTAACCGCACAAACAAAATGTATTTTCGATCCCGCAAAGCTCTCGCATTCGATCTCGATAGATCCGTCACCGTGTCGAAGGGATAATAAAACTGCACCGAGCAAACGTATCCATTCCAACGGGATTGGAAAGGAACCATAAAACTATGTGGATGGAATGTGCTCTATCTCTGTCTTACTTAGTTTAATGCTGCATAAGTTATGCAGCATAACACTATCCTAAATTAATCATACACATACTCTATACGTACAGTCAGAGTCAAATAGTTCGTGACACCCAAAGTTGCTAAAAGTTCGCAACACCTTAGCTACTATTGGAATAAGGTTGTGTTGTCAACCTTTTGGCCACTTTGGGTGACACAAACTATATGACACTGACTGTACCTACAGTATCATCATTATCATCTCTCACTGTTCCGTTTCGCAATAAAATAGAGACCTCTGTGTATAATATTCCTGGGCTTTACATAATTTATTATTTCGAAAAAACGTAATATTCACGATAAATTCGTCTACATACTGCCATTATTTTAGTTACATTCAATCAATTACTCATTATACCTGAATGAAAATCCTATTTAAGCAGGTAGACAACGCCGGTGTTTTTAACAGGAAAAACATACTTAAAAAGACACAAATTAATTCATACGAGTGCTGTTTATACCGGTTATTAAAATTAATCGGATATATTATTTATGGAAGTGTTTATCAAAATCACAATTAATAAGTAATTTCGCGAGTGTAACGCAATACTGATTATGCTGATTAAAATTATATTATCATAAATAAATCATTCATCATGACAGTTTATTAACAAAAAGGAATCCAGCGCATATTGTATTGAATCACGAAAAAGCTTTTACTATCGTATCGTATAATTTATAAATGTTTTGTAAAATAGTGCATAAAACGTTTATCAACAATATTTCGATTCGTCCATTGTAATAATTAACGATAAAACCAAAAGCTTTGAGCTTTGCATAAAAGCTTTTGAGGAAACTGATTTTACGTGAACGAACGTAAGTAATTTCTTTTTTGAACGCAAAGTTACCAGTAAATCAAAATTGAAAACGCTGAGTAAAATGAAGCATTTATTATTTGTTTGTTTCCAAACAAGACAACGGAAAGATATTAAAATGGCAACTCTCCACCACCTCGCCGCCCTAAAACAAATACTGGTAACACCCAGCCTCTAATTATTTTAGCATTCTTTAGGCGCGTGCCATTTGGCAAGCCACGCGCCAACCGAATTAGCTCTCGTTTCACGTAAACATGTAACCTTACAGAACCGTCACAGCCAGACTTGCCACTAACCTAGATTATTTTAGAATAGCATTGGATAATCTCGGCCTCCATTATGTGCACATATTTTCTATTAGTCGTCTACGAGAACAAAAATATACCTTATTTATTTCTATTGTATTTACGTTATGACGAATATTCAAGGCTTATTTACATAACATGTTAGTTACAAGTAAACCTAACAATAGCATGTTACTAAGAAATAAAAGTAGGCTACACGTGTTCTTTTTTATTATAAAAAAAACAAATGACATAATTCTTTGAAGTTAAGATACAAACTCACTGTGTATCTTATTATTTTAAGTGACTTAATGTGAAGACAAACGATTCACATTTTCTCATCTTAAAATGAGATAAGTAGTTTAAACAAAATTGCTCCCACCCGTTGCTAACTCTTCTTTTTCAAAATGACTCACAAACTTTATCGTCCCCATGCCTAACTTCGTATACTGCTTTGAATTAAGACATAAAACGGCAGAAAGGCAAACAATCACCTAAAACCGTGGGTAAAATCTTTGAAGGGGGATAATCACTGGCGGGGCGTGTGCAAAGTGAGCCGTCTCCATAATAATCGTTTGTCAGAAGACTTGCAATAAAGCTCGGAGAGCACCCTCCGTGCCTCTATTAGAAACCATGATACATCCTATATCAACGTAATAAAGCCCATTTTACTTTAAACGAATTATGCAAGGTGTCGCTTACGTATTCTGCAAAATTCTACTCCAAAATGGTCTTTACTACGTCAGTTTAAAGTTGCACCAAGAGACCAGAAGCTTTGCTTAGTTGCATTTACCCTTTGACACCTCACGCACGTAGTGAATCAGTTTGTCAATTGTTTTATCCTTTCGAGAGTCTTCTCATTCAATGCATTTGAATTTTCTCGTTTACGATAGAATCAAAGACGAGAAAATTTTATGAGCACAGTCCGTTTGCTTGGATTTTAAAACAGTTTCGTCTAGTTTAAAACGTGATTCCGGTCTAAAATGAACGATCGAGCTAATTACTGATTACTTAATGAAATTAAAGTTTGATAAATTAAGTTTGGTTAGAAACGTTGTGACGATCAATGTATTTCATTCCATAAACCTCGTAATAAAAAAATTACATTAGGAGCGTTGTAAAAAAAACATGTCTTTTCTCGGAATTTTCATTCCCTAGAACTATTTACTTGTAAAAGGATTTCTACTTTTGATGTTATACATATTAATAATCCAATTTCACGTTAACTACGTATTTTTTATTCATGCAAATCTTACGGAATCCTCTGTACCTACTTATGCGGATACAAATCATACTTGATCTAATGATTCTATTATTATTTTTTCGCTACGATCACTTAATTGTTTCTAAATATTTATGACTAGAACATTTTGTGGCCCTCCCAAACAGTTAACTTAAATGGTGTGTGCACACGGTACCACATAACCCACTAACTACCTAAAGCAAAAATAAAAATGGCAACATGTAGCGCAGCAGCGCATCGTGTGATCACAGTTAAAATGTCTAATATTCTTACATAACCTACATCTGTATAAATCTTTTCGCATTTAGTGAAGCTGCTTTATAAAGCTAGACTGAAAATAGATTCACTATTTTTAATTTAAAATCACTTTGCTTAAGCCGTTTATGATGTTCATCATTCCAAATTCACTTTTAGTTTAAATTTTCAGTGCATCCCCCGTTTTACT